GCGATTCGAGTCGATCGTGGCTAATCTCGATCCGTAACGTTACGTGTCCGTTCGACGGAACGAAAAGAGACGACTAGCGAAGGGAACCGGCCTGAGAGAACAGCGTCGCATCGTTTTCGAATCCCCCGGTGTCGTACACGTGCTGGTAATCCCAGCTGCGTGCGCGCGTACATGCGTATACCAACCTAATAGCCGCAGGCCAGGAGGTAGTCCCCGAGTTTTTCAACGACTGACGCGGCTTGCTGTGGCTGTATGGGGTCTTCGTACAGGGAGACAACTACGGATTGCGTCGTCTTCATGCAATGAACGCCGACCTTGCCGAGTTTTGCCCTTATCACTCGATCCGTTCCCGACAAGTAAATGTACCTGTTGCCGGCCAAGGTGACACCCGACGAGGTCAGAATATCCTGATCGTCGAATCCCTGGACCAATTTTGCCAACTCCTCTTTGCTCACCTACGCGCACAAAAACATCATATGTTCGCGTTTCGATGCAAGATCGACCGACGAGTAATCGACGGAAAGATAACGTTTCGCGCTAAAGCGATTTGCCCTCGATCGTCGCGATTAAAAATCCACTGTCGCGCATTTTTCTATCTCTTTCCCACCTACGCTTCTGTCGCTGTTGAATGATTTTTTTCAGCAAGATGCGACGCGATAATAGTCACGATCACGATTATCGCGCTCAGCTGACCATGCTCGTTTACGCTAGATAAAAACATTCACAAAATATGTATGTCGCTTCTGATAACGTACATCGAGCCATTCAATGACAAGAACGCTTTCCGAAAGGAAATAGACTTCTACTTCTTACGATATGCACATCTCGTCTATTTATCGAGCAGACCAAATGCGCAGCGATAAATCCGATCGACTCTTATTTGTCGGTATCATTGAAGCACACTCATTTCCTTTCCGAGATAGGTTTCCATGTTCCGTAAACAAGCATCGAGTTAAGAGAGAAAAATTCCAGTCACAGAACATCTTCGTCTACGGTCGATTCAAATTCAACGCGCGTTCAACCCCGTTTCGCGACTTCTTACATTCGTCGTGCATCGAATTACTCTTAAATTATTTCGTAATTTTAGTTGAAAACGTACTTTATTATGCTTTCGAATAAAAAGGCTCGATCAAATTCAGCGAAGAAACTGATAATCTTACTTGCCTCGCGAAACAATCTCGTAACATGTAGGTAACATATTTTATCGACCAGAAGGTCAAAACTGCTATCGCCGAAGGATCGAGTTGTTCGTTCGAAAACGACTTCTTTTCTTCGAACGTATTATCGCGATAAATTCGAACGAATAGTTAAGGACAAAGGTTTGGTCGTAAAAACGGGAGAAATTCAACGAACGAGATACTAGCGAAATTAAAATATGTAGAATACGAGGAAAGAAACCGATTCGGCGAAACGTAAGATGAAAATTTTGTTTGTCCGCTCGATCGGGCTCCGAGGTACCCGCTTTGCGATTCGAGTCACGATACTGTGGGGAGGTTGCTGTCCGGCCAGCATCGCCATTTTGGCATTCGTAACCGGAAAGTGTGTGCGCGTGTGTGTGCGCGCGCGCGCACAACCGCGAGGCCACGGTGCAGCTGGCGACCTTTATCTCGACGACGGACGACGACGTTTCACCATCCGCATAAAATCTTTCTTCCCATCCAAGGAACAACTCTACGTTTCACCTTATGCTCGAATCCGTTTTTCTTACCGTGGTCTTATTACGAAATATCGTATTTCTCTACGTTATTCCAAATATCTCTTGCACCGAATTCACCGGCGTCCTTCCTCTCGAAAAATTTTTCAAGTCGTTCCGTTCGTCAAAATTATTTACGAATAAACTCACGGTACGATCGTTGAAAATAAAGTTACGTATCGCATGAACCGATAAATAACGACGAATACGTGTTCTGACAGTTCTGAGACGCTGTAAATTTATACGCGGTATATTTGCTCGTCTAATTAGCTATACGCGTACACGCGATCGATTCCAGATTTCGTACCGAATAAAATTCGCGTAGGCGGCCAAAAAAAGAGCTTTACCCCTCTATGTTGTCTTCGTTCATGTCCCCACCCATTCTGACTTTCTCGGTATTCCTAGTTCCCTTTCGCTAACAAGCCGATCTTGAGTCCTTACGATTTACCGACGCGATTCGCGAAAGCTTTTCAAACGCGACACGGATGGCGCGTCGATCGAGTTTAACTTTTCTGGAATTATCCGTTTAATAATTTTAAACGTTCAACGATTTTGTCATCTCTCGAATATTTGGCAGTAATGAAATATCGACGCGCAACCTTGAACGCTCGAATACCTTCGATTTATAAACAGCGATATATCCGAAAACTGAAAATTCGTTTCGATAACTGTTCGATACGGACAAGCGTCGATACTCGACAACGTTTTTCTTTCGTTCCTCCCACGATATTTCCTTCGAACGTCTAAAAATTATAATTCGTACGAATAAAGTACTTGGCTATCGCGCATATTTCGATGCTACGTACACGCGACTCTGTCTCTCTCTCTCTTTCTTTCTCTCTCTCTGTTTCTCGATAACGGAGGATCCTTTTCAAAGAAATGAGTCATGCTTCGTCACGAACAAACTTGATCGTTTTCACTCTGTTCGATGCAACTACTCGTATACCGTGTAAATGGCCGTCGAGTTTAGAAACGCACCGGCTTTGCCGGAAAACAGAAGCCTCCATTAGGAGTAGGAGCCACCATTTCCATGGGCGGCAGCGACAATGTGCCCGGCAGGCAGCCATGTTCGACTTAATCGAAAACCATTCAACTTCGACCAGACCAACTTTCTTTTCGCAAAAATCACCACACCCTGCTACCTTGTTAAACCACCATTTTTAATCGTATCGATTCGATATCCAGGAAAATTCGATGAAAAAATAAACCCTTTTGCTCTTCTTACTCGTGGATTTTTTCGTACGAGTCGGCAATTTACGCGACGAATCTATGATGGCCGGTCTCGCGGACATATTTGGGCGGTGGACAACGTTTATCGGGAAACTTCTTCGTGAAAAAGATACTCGCTGTACGACCATTAATGGAGTAAACTTCTATTCGACCATTCGACCCTTCAAATATCGTTCTACGTGCCGGCTTAGGTACCGCGAGAACGTTCATGCCGGGTCGACACGCGGAACTTGCAACGATTCTATCGGTTCGATGCGCATAAGCGTTTATGTTTTTTCCTTTGATAAAGGAACATTTAATAATAGCTCGTCGATATCATTTTTTCGCGATGAAACTAAGCTTAATTATCCTGAGCAACGCGATTCGTCTGAATTTTCACGCTAGTACGTTTCAACCCCGGTATCCAACGTGCATAAAACTCTATCTTTTCAAATTTAATGTATTTGTACATACGCGTATAGATATAGATATAATATTCGCGAGTGTGTGTACATGTACTTGTGATAAAGAAATGAAAGAAGAGTATTTGATATCTGATCGGTCGCGGTAAGGAACGAAAAAGAAGAGAACGAAAAATGCGATAGGCTATGTTACATGGAACGTTTAAACTGTTTAATGCATATTTAGCGTGCACTTTCCCTCTTGTCGGCCAGCTAATAATAAGCTACCGAGGCGTTAGTAGAACGAGATACGATTACTCACTTCGAAGCCCTCAGACTTTGCCCAGACATTGCCATCGTGTCCACCGATCGCAGCTTTGGTAACACACCTAGACGCGAGCAGCTGCTTGTCAACGTAATCCTGCCAGCTCATTTTTTAACACAAGCGGCTCGACAAACTCTTCACTACAGCACTAAAGACACAACCCGTCACCGACTGGCTCCTCTCACGACTACCTATATGCGCTGAACGCCGGTCACACTTCTCTTTCACCCCTCCTTATCCTTTCGCGGTTACCACCATCCCCTCTTCGCCCCTTACAGCCCACGAGCACGATGCTCGCCTTCTCCCCACCCTCTATAACTGACCGGTAATTGACTGCCAACCAGTTTTGCCAACTACCCACCCACCAATCGAGATATCGAACTCGAAATACTCTTCGCCTTTTTTTCCAACAATTTTCTTTCTTTTCCTCTCCAGCATACTTTTCAAATTGTTTATAATTCTTCGTTGTTCGAATAAACTCTCTGTTATTCTATAACTTTCTAACGATTTTCATTATTTATAAATCAATTATGTACGCATTCGCTCGAAAACGATGTTTCTTTACTCCTCGACTAAACATTCTTGAAAGAATCGAACACACGATGTTTTATCTAATCGATTCATACACAATTTGTGTAATCGAAATGTTGAAACTCTTGACATTTAGGAACTTTCTAGTAATTTTTTCGAAAATTGTGGCGATCCTGCTTCTCGAAACTAATGAACTGATCATTTTCACACGTGCTGTATGTTTTATCCTTTGTTCGCTGATACGTGATATATACATATGAATACTTATGAACAATGTGATCGTTGTATTCGAATGATTTTAACATTTTATTTTATTATTTCGTTTTACGATGCAAGTCTCCTGTCCAAACGATGTGAAAATCTATAATTTAAGTGCAGGAAAATCCCTGCCAGAGGTATCGAACTTGTTTATTATTACTGTTGTTATTATTTATTTTAACATCGTATACATTTCACTAATCATTAATTTGTAATTTTTCATTTCATTAGTGGTTATCTGAACGTAAAAGACGAGCTTTACTAAAAAAGAATGTCGGTAAGTAAATCTGCTGATTTAATGTATTATCGGTATGTACCTATTGCTGAACAATTTTTAATGTTTTAACAGACATACGACGTAGAATCGAACTTATCCAGGATTTTGATATGCCTGCCGTTAGCACATGTATTAAAGTTACAAAAGATGAACGGTATATCATAGCAACAGGAATATATAAGCCACGAATGAAGTGTTACGATGTAAAAAATTTATCTTTGAAGTTTGAACGATGTTTCGATTCTGAAGTGGTCACTTTTGACATATTATCTGATGATTATAGTAAAGTAAATAGACATATATAGATATTTAGACTATGTATGTTCACTTTTATAGTTTAGATTAATGTTTAATGGATGAACTATTTTTCAGTTGGTTTTCTTACAATGTGATAGAAATATTGAATTCCATGTTGCGCATGGAAGATATTATAGATTCAGAATACCTCGTTTTGGTAGGGACATCAAGTACCACTATCCATCTTGCGATCTGTTCGTTGTAGGAGACAGGTTTGATGCATTATATTTTTATTCCTAACACTTAGTCTAAAATAGTAAATAGCAGAAACATACTTTCATTAGTCTCCATTGTGTTGCAGTAACGAGATTTATAGGATAAATCTTGAAAGAGGACAATTTTTGCAGTCTTTTTTCACAGAAGCATCCTCATTAAATAAATGTGAAATAAATCCCATACATCAACTGCTCGCTGTTGGAACAGAAGATGGGAAAATTGAAGCATGGGACCCTAGAACTAAAAGTAAAGTTGGTACTCTAGACTGTGCGTTACATTGTGTTGAGCAAGGCAATAAGTAAGACCATATTCTATGATGTATCATACTAATCAAAATTTCATTTTTCTAACAAAAATGTGCTTACTTTAATACATAGATTGGAAGCTATTCCTGCGGTTACTAGTTTAAAGTTTCAAGGAGGTTTAACATTTGGAGTAGGTACGTCGACCGGACAAATACTGTTGTACGATATTCGTTCGAATAAACCATTTTTGACAAAGGATCACATGTATGGATTACCGATTAAGAACATTGAATTTCATCAAAAAATGGATATGGTCTATTCTATGGACTCTTCTATTGTGAAAATATGGGACAGAAATAATGTATGTAAAATGAAGCGCGAATTCGTCGTAAAAAGACAGAACAGTAAAGACAGTAAATAGTTATGAACGCGATATTTTACAGGGTAAATTGTACACGTCGATAGAAGCCCAAAGCGATTTTAATGACATGTGCGTTATACCAAACACTGGAATGCTTTTAATCGCTAATGAAAATACGAAAATGCAAACGTATTACATTCCTTCTCTTGGTCCAGCACCCAGTTGGTGTAGTTTCTTAGACAATTTAACAGAGGAAATGGAAGAATTAAATTATGAAATTATTTATGATGACTATAAATTTGTTACTGAGAAAGAATTGGATGAGTTAGGTCTTTTACATTTGAAAGGCACTAATCTTCTTCGTGCTTATATGCACGGGTACTTTATGGATATTCGGTTATATCGAAAAGCGAGAGACGTAATGAAACCGTTCGAATTCCAAGAATACAAGAAAAAGAGAATTCAACAGAAAATAGAAGAAACTCGCGGTAGTCGAATACAGGTATCGTTTAATTGCTTGATATAATTTTTATTTCCACGTTGATTCTGTAAGGTACATCACGTAATACTTTTTTAAATATACCGATTTGTATTTATCGTAGATCGAGAGGATGCCAAGTGTAAATAAAGAACTTGCATTGAAATTAATGGACGACGAGACAAACACGAAAAAGAAGAAAACAAATTCTTCCGCCCTTCTAAAAGATGAGCGTTTCAAACAACTTTTCACTAATCCCGATTTTCAAGTGGATACGAACTCGGAGGAGTATTCGTTGTTAAATCCCGTCGTTTCTCAATTACATAAAAGTAAAACAGCAAAGTTGAAAACCAAAGCAATGGAACAAACAATGGAAGTGGATCATATAAATGACGAGAACCAAGGTTTCTATGTAACGATATTATTCTATATAATATGTTATTTTTAAGCAGTTAATTATAGTAGTGAACTTGCACTTGTAGATAATAGTTCGGATGAAAGTTTCATTCACGATGATAGTAGTTCGGAGGATGAAAAAGTATGGGTTAAAGAAGTAAAGAAACAATATCGGTTAATGAAAAAAAACGAGCGGCAAAAACAAGAGGACGATGAAGACGTAGAAAGCGCTGATGAGCAGGCGGAAAATGGGCCTCGGCTTTATGAAATTAAAGATAACGTAGAATTCAAAGATGCAAAGCCTATAGCAAAGAGACAAAATAAGTGTGTACATTATTCACGTATTTAACAAAACAGGTTATTGACGTTAAATTATATTTAAACAAATTTATTTTCGCATTGTTTAGGGCTAGCTTAGGAGAAAGATTAAGACATCAAGAAGCTCACAGTGTCGCAGTTTCTGGTTCCCGTGGCAATAGAGAAATGACGTTTGTCATCGAAAAGGTTCGTTTTTTTCTCAGATACTGTTCTGTAATATATATCACTTGTTTCCACGTAACAGTTCGCGTATTTATACATATTTAAAAATACGTGTATTTATTTACAGAAGAAACAAACAAGACGTGCAAAATTTCGAATACAAAGACACGATAAAGGATACAAACATTTATTGCGACCAGCAGGAAATTTATTCAAAAAGAAACGTTAATATTTATTGTTGTATTTACCTCTTTCTTTTTTGTTTTTCTTTTTTTTTAATTAAATCAGTCCTTTGTAAAGTAATTAATGTGTTCTTATATTCTTATTATTGCCGTATTAGAATACTCTCGTTCGTTCCCCTTTTCCCCACCGTTTCATGGCTGATTACCTATACCACAAGTAAAATAATTTGTTTCGACCCGATGCAAATGGATATCTTGACAGAGGTGAAGTGTCATCTCAAAAGATTGATATAATGAAATTCATACATAGGGTGAATCACTCGAGGTACAGATACAAATGTTTTCTTTTCAAGTTCAAAAGCATTGTACTCGCTGGTTGAAAAAAATGACAGTGGTAAGTTCTTGTATGTAGTATTTCGCTCAATTGTTTGTTTTTATTAATTAAATGCTGTTTATCGCGTAATCTGTGATGACATAATATCACCAATGTGGTAGTAGTGAGTTTTGATCGTGGGCGCTTTTTTGTTGTTACACGCGTATTTGAGATTCAAGGTGATCTTTTGAACATATCGAACAATGTTTATTTTGAACATAAACGGTTATGTCTAAATCGCTCTCAAAGTCTGTACATTGGAATTTAATGTCTTCTTTATCGCTCCCGTCCATAATGAAACATAAGATTCGTATTAATGATAATGTGAATATGTTAAAATGTTTTTGCGCGATGTAGATAAAAGAGTATATTAGGATTGGACTTTTGAATAATTTCTTAAATATTTTTACTAGGCAAGTTCGAATAACGAATCAAAAAATGGAAAAGATCCTCCTCAGCAAAATCATGAAGAAACTATGCAGGCATCCACTCCGTCTGGACTATCAGAATTACAGTTGCAAAGTACAGAAGTAAGACATTGCTAATTTTAAACTCTTTCATGTTTAAGACAATAAAGTTCTTGAGTATGTACTATTTTTTTATGATCATAGGTCGGTGAAATCACAGAAATGCCAGATTTTGAAATGTTAAGCACATCTGCAGTGCTTCACTATTGTAAGCATAAAATATTAAAGCCATACTTGAGGCTGTTAGGCGTAATGGGTTTGAAACCAATGAGCAGCGATGATTCTGAACATTGTTTTTGTTATTGTATTCTTATGAATCTTCATACATTACAAGTTATAATATTTATGTGCATCGGATATATTTTACAATATATGGCATGTTTCAGGTAAGTTCTACATGTAGTGTATCATATAATTCTTGTTATCGGTGATTATCGTTTCAGAAGAGACAGAGGGTTTTGCTATAAAACATTACCTTTAGAGCTTCAACTAGTACCGAACATCAGTACAGAACTTTCACAGGAAATTACTTGTTACGGAAATATTATATTCAGTTATCTAGTTCCCAGTGTTTTACATTTAATAGCATATTTATATACAGTATATTTATTCCGGATTAAAGAGAATGAACAATTACAAAATTTAATGGAGAGAGCGTTCCTACTGTCCTCCAATCCTGTGAATCGTGGAAATCAAAGAAAACTGGTACAAATACTGTGGCTTTTCATAGCACTGAGTGTAGTATGGATAATCATGGCATTAATCACGGTAAATGTTCTGATGGCACAAGGAAGTATTGTATTTCAATGGCTGGAACACAGGTAATTTCCTAAGCACATCTTCACATTATTTTGGTTTCACTAATCCAATAATTGACACTGGTCATTTTTATTATTACATTTATGTTACATAATTTTCTATCATAAAATATTCTGTTTTTATTGCGAGCGTTCTGTTATATTACGCTTCTTCCGAATTTATTTTTTGCACAGTCCGTATCAAGTAAAAATAACATTGAAGGTATTTTTAATTGTATGCACATTATGGCACGATATGGTTCAAGGAACGATTATCACCAGTTACTGTTTACAAGGGCAACTTTTAATGGCACATCTGTACTTTCTTCGTGGAAAATTGCTCCATCATACTTTATCTCCTATCGATTGGATGCGGGTTTGTAAATAGATTTCTGTTTGATTCCTTTCTTTACTTTGGATAAAAACATAAAAACATGAAAGAGAAAGGAAACAAAAGTCACTCGTGCTTGTACATGAACATTTTAGGAAATTTGCGAATTTAAGAAACTATTGAAATATTTCAATGATGAATTGGGGCCAGCTGTATGCATCTATACAGTTGTGAATGTATCATGGGCTGCAGCAGGCACAGTCTGGTTGCTTCGATATGACAATAGTGACGCACACAACAATCCTGTTACATGGATTGGAATAGTAAATGTCGTTTTATGGAGTTTAATATCAATAGCTCCTTTTATTCAGGTATGTTGTCAGAAATGTTAGGAAAGACTGATAGATACCTTCAAAACTTATGAACGTACAATCTGCAGTTTTCATTTAAATGAAGAATAATAGTCTTTCTAGTAATAAGTCTTTGTCGTTCTTTGTTTAATAGGCAGCTCGTTTAAGTACCGCTTGTTCCATGATACAAAGTATTGGACATGAGGTACGAATCCGACCATTTGTATATCAAAGTACTCCGGGTGAGGATCTCGATACTATACTTTTATACACATCATCGCTAAAAATGTGTGCTAGATTGTTTAGAGTACCAATCACAGGTAGATACCTTTGTCTTTTCTTGACAGTAGGTAGCATTTTAATTCTCACATTAGGACAATGTCACTTTTTCTAATTAGTTGTACCGTGTTGGTAACATCTAATTATACGAAATACCTCTTTTACTGTATACTCTACATTTTACGTATATACATTGTTCAAACAGTAATGAGTAAGTAATATAATCCGCATTTTTTGCTTTTTGTACATTTCGAAATTAGTTTAAATCAAGTATTGTAAGATAAATAAATTAAAACTTATATTATCAAGAAACGACAACAGTAATAAACTTGAATATTTATACATATCATGTATTTTTCATGTTGCTAATAAAATTTGTGTCAGACGTTATATCTAATGTATCATTTTAATATTTGCTATCCAACTCTGAAGCACTCAGAGAATATAGTTTATTATAAAGTAATTTAATAAAGTGAAAGCATTTTGAAGGCCCCATCTTTAACATGCAATTGAAAATTTATATTTTCGTGCGCCTTGAAAGAAAAAGGTACAAGTAGCGTTATCTGGCGTTGAAGTGCCAAACACAAAGATGGCGGAATACATCGTACACATGAGCTAAGATGAAATAATTAATAACACATTTTCTAAACACAATTTATGCACTTTTATTATAAAAGTATGTTTAGTGATCCCTCAGCTATCTTCTCGTATCATATTTGTTCAGATTTTCAATGAAATTAATTAGTTATTAACTAATAACATAAAGCCAGCCACGGTGACAAGCGGTACATGAGGTCATTTTGAATAATTAATTACACGTTTTATGGATATATTTTGTGCACTTTTATGATTGAAGAATGCTCAGCAATGCATTATTTACATGGTTCGATCATAAAAGTTCATAAATAATGTTCGGATAACGAGTAATTAATAATTTTGTGTCAGCATTCCGATACGTACATGAGCCACCTATGTCAATTCTACTGCTAATGCAAAGTGCAATATTTCGGCACTTTGACGACGTAGTATGGTTCCTGAGGCATTTAGAAACAAATTTCTATTAGGGTTTGATGCGTTTTGATGCCTAATAAAGCCAGAAAATCAATTTTTGTCGAATTTGGTTCAAAACGGTACAGGTGGCGCCATCTAGCGGCGAGCGGCGGAACTACGAAAAACTAAAATCTCGATTTTCTCGA